GTGTTTTAATTTCGAACTGTAAATTGAAGGCCTTATCGACGACTAAATCAAAAATTGATTAGTGTTTTATGCTAATTAGAATTTATGTGATTTTATGGTAGGTTTAATGTAAATTTGATTTGGAACGATTAAATTAGATTAAATAATGTTAAATTATTAAGTCAAAATTAATTACACTTTTGCATTACTAGTGGACCACTTTGTTAATACATGTTTGGAGCTGAATTCATTTTTGTTACACCATTTCTTCATCCATCTTCTTTAGCAAACCGTGGGAGAGAGAGAGGTAGGAGAAAATAGAGTTCATCAAGGAATTGACTTGAATTTTAGAAGAATTGAAGAGCAATTGCAAAATTGAGCTAGCATATTTGGAATTCAAGACCTAAGGTAGAGAATTCGCCTTGTTGATTATGAATTTAAGTTATTTCTTGCATGGTTCATGGTAATTTAGTGTTTAGATCCAAGAAGTGGTTTATAGTGTTGAGTTGTGAGTAAATTCATGCATGAATGTACATGTTCTTGAAATTTGAAGTTGTTTTGCATGAAATCCTTACATGCATGTGCATATTTTAGTAGAGGTCCATGAATTCACCATGTTCTTGAGCTAAACTTGCATTTGATCATGTTTTGGGGCATTAGAGTTCATGGGAACTCATGCATGTATGATTTTGCATTGTTCTTCATGTTTACATTTGAATTTGTGTTCAAATTGGCTTACCTTTGGGCTTGATTTTACAAATTGATCTTCGAAGACATGTTATACTATGAGTTTTCAAGTGTTTTTCAGAAAATTGGCCCAAAAGGTTGAGTTTTGATGTGTTGAATGCATGGTTTGAGCTTTGAAGGAAAATCCAGAAAACCCAGAATTTGGCTTCCTCGCTCGAGCGAGCACCTGTGTGTTCAGAGGTCCGCTCGAGCAACGGAATGTTGGCTCGAGCGTGAATTGCAAGCTCTCAGGTTTTTTGGTGCACGCAGACACACGCTCGAGCGAAGGATGTGTCTCACGCTCGAACGAGCATCGAGCAGAGATTTTCAACAACCAGTACTTTTGCATTTTTATAGACTGCTCGAGCGAAGGAGTTTACGCTCGAGCGACCCCTCTATTTTGGTAAGCTCGCTCGAGCGAAAAAAGCCAGGCTCGAGCGAGACCCCTGTTTTCAGCAAATTTTGAAAAGTGTTTTAAAGTACATCTTTGCATTCTCATTCCATCCTAGGCATTCCTAGGCCTAGTTTAAGGCATCTTAATGAGGATAATGTTATAGAACCACACCAAGTATAAATAGGGGCTAAGTTATTAATCCCGAGTGTGTGTCCGTTCTGCAACTGTAGGGTCGGCATCCAAGGACGCTCGTTAGCTTGTCTATAGCCCCGTGCTCTGTAAGTAACAATGTTGTAAAGATATGTTCAATTATGATTATTTTCTGAATGATCAACTGTTCTGCTTACTGAAACGTTGTTGTTTAATGAATGAATGTTTGTCCTATTTGTAAACTGTATTTGTGGCATCCATAGCAATTTACTGTTACTGTACTGTTACTGCTACTATCACAGAGATCTCTGTTGGTTCCAATGTTCGGAACTACTACTGTTTACTGTTATGATGGCCATCAACTGACTGTTCGGTCTATTAAGACCTACTGTACTGTTTTGCTATTGGATGTACCACATATGCCTGCTATGGTTTTTGAGTGATTGATATGACTGTTTAAATACTGAAAGGACATTCATTCTTAACCTCTTTACACAACTGTTATTCACTGGGCTTTAGCTCACTATTTATATTTATATGTAGGTGTCCAGGCACCGGATCAATGCTAGAAGCGTCAAGCTAAGCTCCCGTTTTGTCAAGCCAACCGTTGTGCCTCACTTCGAGGTTCCTAAGTCTGTCCAAGCTAGGGCTATTTTGGGGTGTCTCAGTTTCACCCTTTGTCTTTGTTCTGTAGTAAATGTTTAAGACCGGACTGTACAGCTATGGTGAAGGGATTTGGTCCATAACCTGAATGTTTTTATGTATCTGAGATGTATATATATGTTTTGTTTATGAATGTGGTTTGTTTATAAAAGTCTTTTCGCATTCAGACTGTCATAGCTTATTGGACATCTTTTATTTACTGTTTGGCTTCCGCTAGCCCCTTACTCTGTATTACTGTTATTACTGTTAAGCAGGCCTTTGGTAATCACGGATTACTGGCCGGTTATAATACTAAACCCATATGAGCGGGTTTGGGTCGCGACAACACACCTCTTTCTCACATTCACCCATTTTTCTCAAAATCATATACATTTACAATGTATTAAACAAGCAACAATGTTCAATGCACATGGATGAGAAATTAGTTTTAGTTCACCTAATTCTCATGCAATTTTTACAAGACTCATAGCTATCCTCTACCGATAGCCCAAAATAGATATCTCTAATAAACAAAAAATTTCAATAACAATATACATTACTATCATTTCCAAGATGTAAGCGATATAACATATCCAACTCCATCATCATCATCAATATCCTCCATCACCATTATCAAGACGTGAGTGATTTTACAAAATCAATATCATCCTTCAATATTTTTCTAACACATGTCAAACCCATGGTTTTAAAGCAAAACCTCGTCTTCTTTCAAAATCATTTTTGAGTAGAGAAAGATATCATTCAAATTACACAATATACAACATCATTTCTATTATCTTTACAAGATCAACATTTGAGATTTCTAGGGCAAAATTTCCTTTTTTCTTTACCAATCATTTTCAAAGGTAAAACCCATCACTTCATCATAGATCAACAATAAACACCTTTCTACAAGCATTTCCAACAAACCATTTGAAAACCCCTCTTTTTTTTATTTCCAACCACAATCCTAGATTTGTCCAAAATCTCTAAAAATCACAATATTGTTTTAGAAAGAACAAATAACTAAGTTAAAAATCATATTAAGGTGCAGAGAATCCCTACCTTAAACTTAGAAGAGGAAGAAGGAAGAAAACTCCAAAAGTTGACGGTGACGAAATAATGATTTGCTCTGATTAAAACGAAACCCTCGACAAGCTCTACATTTAATCTTAAAGGAGTAAGGTGAGAAGATGCTTCTAAGTGAGTAGATCTAAAGATCTTTGAGTGAAAAAGTGAGTTTAGAGAGAGAGAAGAGTGACTCACGGTTTAGAGAGGAAAAAGAGAAGATAAAATGAAGAAAATGGTAAGTGAGGGCCCTATGTATAGTGCTAGGTTAAAGTGAAATAAAGTTCCAAAGTCAACCCAAAAGAACAAGTTGAAATCCCAAGAAGTAGAGCCCTAAACCGAATTAAAATCTAAAAGAAAACTCACAGGGGTCGACCCTTGTGTCGGTGGTGTCGACCGTTCAGGAAGAATTGACAAAAAGACAAAGCTGGCAGCAGATAAGGTGTTGACCCTTGGACCCAAGGTGACGACATTAAATTTCAGCAACTAAACTCAAATTCTGTAGTAGACAATGGTCCACCCTTCCCAAACTGGTGTCAACCCTTGAGGCCAATAATAAAAGACAAGTGTCGACACCACCAATGCTGGTGTTGACACTAAATTTCAGTAGCGATTCCAAGAACATAGCAGCAAGATGGTGTCGACACCTCTAAGGTTGGTATCGACCCTTGGAGTAGAACAAGGCAAGGAAAAGAAGGCAATGTCGACACCAACAAAGACGGTGTCGACCCCCGAAGCCAAAACCAAATATGAAGAAAAGGGAATGACCATCACGAATATTGTTTCTTGGATTCAAAAGTAATAAATGAGTCAGGTCTAAATCGGGATCACTATAGTAATATGTTACTCTGATTCACAATAACATGTTACTCTGACAATATTATCCAAGAAAGGAAAAAAAAAAAGATATTTTATTTTGTCCTTACTCAATTATATATTTTCTCCTCAAGGGATTTATAAAGAAAAATAAATTAGTCTGTCATTTTTACCAAATAAAGATCTAATAAAAGGGTTTTAACTAAATTTTCCTAATAAATTTTGAAAAACCAGATCAAACAAGCTGCGTTGACAACAAAAATGAAATTATTTTAAAATAAAAAATAAAATAATTTTTTAATAACAAATAAAAATATGTTGTGTACGGTGACCTACTATAACTGAATTAGGGATGACAACAGGTCGGGGCGGGGCCGGGGATCACACTCCCTGTCCCCGATCCCCGATGATGAAAATTTCCTTGTCCCTGACCTCGATCCCCGACAAGAACCTATCACCGTCCCCATCCCTGCCCCCTAACGGGGATCGAGTTTCCCCGACCCCAAAAATTTCCCGGACAAAAAAAAAAAATTAACAGCAACAACATCATCATCAAACGTCAACAACAACATCATCAACATCACAAACAGAGAGATATCTGAATAGAGAGAGAGAGAGAGATCTGAGCAACAACATCATTATCAAACAACATCATCAACATCACACAGAGAGAGAGATTTGCCGTGGTGGAGAGGAGAGGAGGAGGAGGCGACAGTCGTTGCGGTGGCGCGGAGAAGAAGCGACGGTTGCTGGGAGAGAAGAGAGAGAGTGATTCGGTGGTTCGGTACTCTCTCTGTGTGCTCTTTGCTCGCCTTTGCTCTCTCTCTCCCCCTCTCTCTCTCTTTGCTCTCTCTGCTCCTCCAATCTTCTCCTCACCTTTGCTCTCTCTCTCTCTTTGCTCTCTTTCTCTCTCGCTGATTCGATAGTGTCTCTCTTCTGCTCTTTTTGCTCACTGATTCGGTGGATAGAGGGTTAGGTGTATATATATGAATAGATATAGGAGGTATATATGTAATTTCAGCTCGGGAGAAAACGGGGACGAGGACGAGGACGAGGATGGGGCCAAGCCGGGACTGAAAAACATATCACCGTTCCCAACCTGAAAAGTATCGAGAATTTATTTTTAAATACCATTTCCGACTCATTGGAAGTATTTTTCAAAAAGACACTATTCTAATTGGGGTCGGGTCGGGTCCATCGCGCCCGGTTCAAATTGTCATCCCTCAAGTGCCCCTTCCTACACCACCACGAATGGTGAGAGGAGTCTGTGAAAACTCCGATTCTTTCTCACTCTGATTCTCAAAAATCACGTAGATGCAAATGCTGAGACTTGCAGCGATTAGACTTGCTTCTTCATCTTCTTCTTCTTTATCTTTATCATGGCGTCCGAATCGCACTGCAAAATTGACAATGTTTTCCGGCGACAGTAACTACGACGACCCTTCTCTGAATTCCACTCGAAAATCCCCATTTTCTCCATCAGAGTTTCCTCATTCAAATACAGGTCAGTACTCTCTCTCTCTCTCTCAACTTGCTTTGATTTGTATGTTTTTTTACTGTATTCAAATGTTGGGTCGCATTTGTATTTGGTGTTTTCTGTGAAAATATTCCTTTGATTCGCTTTGATACCATTATGAATTTTGGCTGAGACCCATAAATTTCTTGGTTATGTTTCTGTGAAGAGCTTAATACGATGATCAGAATTTGAATTTTTATTGAAACTTGTAGTTTACTACAGTTGGATGAGAGGCTTTATCAGTGTTCTTGTGCTACCTTATGGTGTTTGAGTCCTACAATTTAGTGGTCTAGATAGTTTATGGTATTTTAATATTGGTTTGACTTTGTATACTAGTTTTCTGGAGAGCTTATTTACCTCAAAAGAAGAAAAGAAAAGAAAAGAGCTTGACAATGGAAATATTCCTCTTGGACCTAACTTGATACCTAGTACTTGCTCCTCCTAATGCCATTGTGTTTATGTAGTTATTTGGCACTAATTGGTTGTCATTTTAGAAGATGATGAAAAGTGGTCGGGATTTGGGGAGCTTCCTAGACCCTCAAAATGTGAAGAAATGTGTGTTTTTTCAATTGAATTGGTAATAATCAGTTAGTACCTTAACTGAGAGAGAGAGAGAGAGATTCCTTAGTTTGTTTTAAAATTTTGTTTCTCTTTGCAACTGTTTTCAGATGATTGAATCATAAATTACATGCATTCCTTAGTTCGTTTTAAAATTTTGTCTCTCTTTTTAACTGTTTTCGGCTGATTGAATCATGAATTGTATCTCGTTGTGCTTATACTTCTCATTTCCTTTTGTTCTTTTTTTGTCCATTCATGTTGTCTTTGCTTACTTTATTTCCCTGTTAAAAAGAAACATTCTTAAAACACTCTTTGCAAAAAAGAAAAGGGAAGAGACGACAATTATCAGGTTTAATAGTATATTGATCTGCTATAATATGATGGCTAAAATTGTATGCATGGAAAGAATAACTTGATCATATCTTTGTATCTTTTACATGGTTTTTGTCCTCTTAAATGAATATCAAGTGTAAACTTGTTGCAACACAGTCAAATCCTCTATCTTCAAATTCATTTTTTTAGTATTTGAGAGAAGCATCTTCTTGCTATATTTCTCTTGTACGATACTAATTTTATGATGCACAATAAGAATGACCTGCCAGACATATGAGTGTGTGTTTACATATGATACATGCACTTATAGTTTCCTCTCTCTTACCTTGTATGTGCCTTTTCACATGACTATCACTACAAGCTTGTAAAACTAAAATATAGTTCTTCTCTTGCATTTTCCATTTTCTAATGTCGTGTACTAGATGTTCAATTGTGACATTTCCAATTTTACTATACTGTTTTGATAGCTCTTGCAGCCTTTGTTCTTTTTTCAGATGGATCTGTTACTTCTGTATGTCATTCATTATAGATGAGAACTCTTTTGTTGAAAATAGTTTCCATAGGATAAATATATTTTTTTTTCTTTTTTTTCTTCTCCCACTCTAACTTGATTTTGTATCATGGGATAATCCTTTCAGATCATCAAACACTCTTCCATGTTCTTGAAGCATGCAAACTCTCTTCTAACGTGAGAGCTGCAGCTGAAACCCACTCTAGAATTATTAAACTTGGTTACGGAACCTACCAATCTCTCATATCATCTCTTACATCAATATATGCATCTTGTGGTTGCCCCAATCTTGCTCATAAGCTTTGCAATGAAATTCCCTGTTGGGATTTTGATCTGATCTCTGCCAATTTGATTATTGTGACTTTTATGAAGATAGGAGCAATTGATATTGCCAAGAAGGTATTTCACAACATGCCCACCCGTGATGTAGTCTCATGGAACTCAATGATTGGAGGTTGTGTAAAAAATGCATGCTTTGAGGAGGCTTTAAGGATCTTCCAGGAGATGTTGAGCTTAAATGTTGAGCCAGATGGTTTTACATTTGCATCTGTTATTACCGGTTGTGCGCGACTAGGAGCTCGTGATCATGCTAAATGGACACATGGTTTAATGATTGAGAAGAAAATTGCACTAAATTACATTTTGGGTTCTGCACTTATAGACATGTACTCAAAATGTGGAAAAATTGAAACTGCAAAAGAAATATTTGAAACTATTCGAAGAGATGATGTATCTGTTTGGAATGCACTGATTAATGGGCTAGCAGTTCATGGGCTTGCTTTAGATGCAATTGCAATATTCTCTCGTATGGTGGTGGAAAATGTTTCACCTGATTCTATAACTTTTGTTGGAATTCTTACAGCATGTAGCCATTGTGGGTTGGTTGAACAGGGTCACAAGTACTTCGATTCAATGACATGTTACTCAATTCAGCCACAACTTGAGCATTACGGAGCAATGGTTGATCTCTTGGGTCGAGCTGGGCACCTAGATGAAGCTTATTCAATCATTAAAGAAATGCCAATGGAGCCTGATATTGTAATATGGAGGGCACTTCTCAGTGCTTGTAGAACTCAGAGAAATTCTGATTTGGGTGAAGTTGCTATTAAGAAAATTAAACAACTCGGCAGTGGGGATTATGTTTTGCTATCAAATATTTATTGTTCTGTAAACAAATGGGATAGTGCCGAGAGAGTGAGAGATACTATGAAAAAGAATGGAATTCGTAAATATAGAGGAAAGAGTTGGATAGAGATGGCAGGTGCCATTCATCAATTTAAAGCTGGTGATGTATCACACTTGGAAAGGGAAGCAATATACAAGGTGTTGGAAGGATTGATTCGACGGGCCAAAATGGAGGGATTTTCTCCTGCAATAGAGTTAGTATTGATGGATGTATCTGATGAGGAAAAGGAGGAAAATCTGAATTATCACAGTGAGAAATTGGCATTGGCATATGGGATCTTAAAAACTAGCCCTGGAATGGAGATCCAGATTACCAAAAACCTCCGGACTTGTCTTGACTGTCATTATTGGATGAAAGTGGTTTCAAGGATACTAAACAGGGTTATAATTGTGAGGGACCGTATCCGTTTTCATCGGTTTGATGGTGGTGTGTGTACTTGTGGAGATTATTGGTAGTAGACTTTAAGGTACTTTGGCAAACCAAAAAATAAAGTCAAAGTTCCTTGAAGTTTGCAAACTAGAGTGCATCTGCTAAGGCTATGCATCTGCATAAGCATAGTAGTGCAAAGCCAATCTTTTTGGCTTGATTGGACTTTAAGCGTGTTCCATTTATGCCAATGCTGCTCGAACCAGATGGAACCACACAATGTGATCCAAACAACCACAAGGTGTTCTAATAATTGTGCTTTGCATGGTCATAAAGCTAAGCATTTTCTTAGTCTTTCTAAACTCATTGCTCATGCTATTGTGTTTCTGGTGTTGTTTCCTAATTTTGGAGGAGATATAAGCTTTGAAATTTCTATCTTGGCTCATAGTATGTTTAACATAGTTTAGCCATGCTACTAGAAATATCTGGTAAATTTCCAATACTGAGTATGATTTAGTTTGACTGTCGGTTATGCATCATTTGAATCTACCTTGGAGTTACATAATTTCTGTTAAAAGGGCATATACCAAAGTTTTCTTCTCCACTTAGAAAGTTTTGTTGATGCTTGAAATGTTATTATGGGTTTAGTCTTGATAAAATTCTACACATCTTTAGGCCGTGGTTTTGGATCATAAATATGGTTAGGGATTTGGAGAGATAAAGGAAAATGTGAATGAAATAAGCTAAATTTTTTCCCTATTTCTCTTGCCTTTTTCTTAGCCTTTCCAAACCCATACCCAAATCCATGACCTAAACACAACCAAGTATTTTTTTTGAGTTTCCTTTCTCTCTAACTCGCTCTGTTGCTTTCTTTTGTCCTCAATTTGCTCGTTTTCACCAGCATTCCAGCTTAGTTAAACTTGTTTGATGTATAATCCCAAGCTTAGAAATAATGATTCTTAATTTTATCCTGCTCTGCCTTTCAAAACTTATCTTAGATCTGAACCTTCCTGCATCAAAGGTTAATTAAATTAGCTTTATACACTCTTCATGAATGATCATGGACCAATTAGCATCTGAAGGTCATTGTGTTTGACCAACAAGCCACACTAGTGTGTACAAATGGTTGTTCATTATTATTCAGACACAGCCTCAAATGCAATGCTAATTTTTCTTCTTAAATATTCTTTTCAGTCAGGACAGTATATGTAGTACTACTATGTTATTCTTGATGTTATTTTCAGGTCATATATAGCAGGTTTTCTGATTATTGTTGATTGATGTTGAAGGTTATGGTTCTAAATCACATGCTCTGGGACGCAATGGCTGTAGTGTTGGACCTCTCAGCAAGTGGTGCAAAGAAACACGAATATTTATCCTCCTCTTAATTACAACAATTCTTCTTTGTTATACCATTGAACAATTAAATAGATACTACATTGTTCGTTTAACACAGTAGATAATTCCTTCTTGGAAACTCAAAAACAGACTCATCAAGGTTTTTGTACAACACAAGACAGGTCAAACAAATCATGACCTTCGAAATGCAACATAGCAACTACTTACCGCTAGTGCATGATTGGTTCTGTGAAGACTAATTTATTCCATTAAATATTGCTAATTAGCTGTCTTGGATAGGAGCCAATGGCAGTTTGCCTCCATAAATCTCCGGAATCTGGCTCTCATCAATGTCTTGTAGCAGAGTCGACTTCAGTTTCTTGTTCTCCACAAACACGATCTATGACAGAATGGGACACAGAATGATTAGTTTACCATATTGTGATACAATTCAATTGTGCACTTGAGCATAATACATGACATTTGACTGTGGTTAGCTTGCTTGTAAAATAGAGAGTTCAGACTTTTTTTTACCTTCTTCTTAGTATTGTCATCGATAAATGGATATACAATCTTCCACACTGCCATAAATATGTAAGGCGCATGAACGATAAATAACTTCCCAAGTCTTTCTGGATAGTAGTCCTGCCATTATCAGCAAGTTGTTAGTTATTACTAGTTATTCGATGTCACTAAATACTACATTTGATCTTCTTAATATAAATGTTAGATCGGTTTGTCCTCTATGTTTATGTGATAGTTCGTTTCATCAAATACAAACTGAAAATAGGGTACATTGCAGGAAAAGTTTGGGCTTCTCTCTGATCACTGGAAGGTCTAGAACCCAAACCCTAGATAAAAAGGAGGCTATTTTTGAGTTTCAGCAGAAGAAGCTTCCAGTATGTCCTGGTTGTGCTGTCCAATCAACAAGATCTTGATCAAGTTGAGTAAGAAATTGAACACTGCAGAATGAAGAAATATACAGAGGGCTAAACCTGCAAAATGGATAGAGCTCCCAGGTATGCGCGAATGTCGCTGTTTGCATATCCCCATCCCTCAAGATCGCCGATAACAACAAACTTCTCCTGTCCTGCTGGCATCCTGAGACATCAATGTGACATCAGATATAGCCTCATTAGGGCACAAGAATTAGGGATTGTTTGGTGCAGTTTATGGAGCTGCTTGTATATATATATTTATTTATTTTGGGAATATGTGTTAGTTTTTAGTGCAGTTTTTATTTGTAGTTTATGAGGTAGAAGTAACTTAAATAAGTGGAAAATAGCTCATTATTAGGAAGTAAAAGAAGATGTGCTTTTAGCTTTTGGTTTATGATTTATCAGCTTTCAACCTACTAGAAACTACACCAAACAAGCTCTTAGTTTGGTTCACTGAAATGAGTTTGCAGGCTTGTGTGGGCATGTGTGTGAGAGTGACTGAAGAGAGCTAGCTTCTTAGGAAAGCAGTACCTTGAACACAATTTCTCAAGCGCAAAGACTGTGAAACCTGTGAAAAGAAGAGTTTAATGGTTTTAATCAATAATTATTTTAACTTGGACATCGACATGGTAAATTAATGGGCTAGTTACGATAACGCTGTGTTTGGTTGAGGGATTTGGAAAAGAAAAAGGAAAATGTGTGTAGAATTATGTGAAATATAGGTATATTTTATTCACATTCCAACTATCTTTTTCATTTCCCTTTCCGAATCTCTTCTCAAATCCCCTAACCAAACACAGCATAAGAGTCCTTCAATTATTAGCAGATATTACTTTATCTCTTGATCTATGAACTTGTATATTTTTTTGATCATTTCTACTATAAAAATATATAATTTTCACCCATTCTAGATCGCTTTTAAAATGGGTGTATTTATATGATTTTCATATTTGAGGAGATCAATATGTACGGATTCATAGATGAGGGGTTTTGATGTAATTAATCCTTTCTAAAAGAACTATAAGGAAATTGATAATTCTTCATTTTTTATTATATTTTATTTTAATGTTGAGGAACCTCATCATGGCACTACTCTTGCAAAGTAAATCTCATATATTTACAATTACTTGCAAACTAAATCTCAGATACTTAAAATTACTTGCAAATTACATGTATCAATTAAGATTGAGAGATGAGAGTTGAATCAAAGATATCTTATAACTTGTCTCAATGTTTGTCCTCTGTTGAGCTCCTTGTATAGGTTGTTATTCCTCTTTGCCTTCACTGTAACTCTTGGAAAAATATTTTTTGTAAAAAAATTGGTCTGATGAAAAAAGAAAATCAAAGCAAAATGTTTTTCGTGGTCAATAGAAAACGAGTTTATTTGGTTTTTGTTTTCGTTTTGTTTTTTTCTTCTTTTGAATAATGAAAAATATTTTTGGATTAAAATCGTACAAGAAGACCACTCCACCTCCAATAACACTGCCACTAATACAACCATTGGCGCATTAGTTGGAAAATATTTTTCATGGAACCAAACAAAGTGTAGCTGAACTTCAATGACTCATAATTTAAGCATGAAAAAAGTGAAAAAAAACATAGAAAGATGTGAGGAACATACGTTTGAACTTCTCCAAACCTTCTTTGTTGTGAAAATGTCTACCACCAAAGGCAACTGTTATGGGACGTCCCTTTTTATCCATTCCTTGAAGAAACATTTTGTTTTGTGCTAAGTCGTTTTGGATCTCTAAAGCGGATATGAATCCATTCGGTACAAATGTTCTTCTCCATTTCAAGTACTTGAGGAACATTGCTGAAGCCTTTTCTATGTCTAGATCACGGGCCCGGAGAAACCTTCTGATTATCAAATCATCTGCATCCTGCAAATCCATTTCGTCCCCCCCCCCCAAAAAAAATAAAAATAAAATAAAATAAAATTCAATGATCTGATCATGGTATATATGCACAATGCAGGCGAATGCTTTAGTATCCACTACTTACATTTTGTTTGATCATCATTATTTTTTCAATGTTTCAATCTTTAAAATTTAGTTAGTTCTTTTAATATAGCTTTTTGTAGAAGTGATGAAATAGTGTAGAGAGAAAAGAAAAAATCTATATATGTTATTGTGTTTAATCAAGTACAATGACTCCTATATTTATAGGAGAGAATGTACACTAAGTAGGAAGGTTACACTAAGAAGGAAGGTGTATCAATCACATACATTAAGGCCTCGTTTGAGAACCTTTCATTTTAGCCAAAAAGTCAAAAAGTTACTAAATTAGCCAAAAAACCAACAATCTATATCAAAAAGTCAAAAATTCTCTTTTCTCTCTACTTTTTTGCACATCTTTTCGTAAAAAGCCAAAAAGTCATCCAAAATATACTAGTTTTTTTTAACTCAAATTTTAGGCAAATAGCCAAAAAATTACTAAATTAGCCTGTTTCCAAACGAGGCCTAAATATGGTAGGTACGACAATCACTACCAATCAACAATATATAACTACATATATATATATATACACTAACAGTCCCCCGCAAACTCAAGGTGGATAGATATCAACCAATATGAGTTTGGAAACTAAGTCACTGAAACGACCAAGGGGATGAACCTTGGTGAAAATATCAAAAAGCTGATCAGCAGAGGTAATAAAATGGAGATGGACTATGCCACGAACAACATGCTGGCCGATAAAATGACAGTCGATCTCAATATATTTAGTGCGATCATGGAAGACATCATTATGAGCAATTTGAATGGCACTTTGGTTGTCATAGTAGAGAGATGTAGCATCAATAGGAGCGACACCCATGTCAGCAAGGAGCCATCGGAGCCATAAAAGTTCTTGGGTAGTATCTACAAGAGCTTGACATTCAGCCTCAGTACTAGAGCAAGCAGTGAGAGTCTATTTCTTGCTGCGCCAAGAAATAAGTGAATCCCTTAGAAAGAAGCAAAAGCTAGTAGTGGAGCGACGATCAGTGGGATCCCCAGCCAAATCAACATCAGAATAAACATGAAGCTTGAGAGAAGATAGAGAGGAATAGTGAAAACCATGAAATAAAGTGCCATTGAGATAGCGAAGAATGCGAAACAGGGCATCATAATGAGGTGTGCGAGGAGTCAACATATACCGACTGACAATGTGGACAACATATGAATGATCAGGACGAGTAACTGTAAGGTAGATAAGACTGCCTACCAACTGCCGGTAGAGGGTAGCATCAGGAAGAATAGCGCCATCAAGAGGAGTAAGACGAGTTTGAGGATCAATTGGAGTAGAAGCAGTTTTGCAATCAGTAAGTGCAGCTCGAGCGAGAAGATCAGAAGCATATTTGGTCTGAGAGAGAAAATAGCTAGATGAGTCATGAGAGATTTCAAGACCCAAGAAATAATTGAGAGTACCAAGATCCTTCATCTCAAAGTGGTGGCTAAGAAACTATTTGAGGCGAAGAATACTAGCCTCATCATCTCCGGTGATAATCATATCATCCATATAAAGAAAAAGGAGAGTGGTGCCTTGAGCAGTGGTGTGAACAAATAAAGTCGAGTCATAGGAGCTAGAAGTGAAGCTGAAGTCATGTATAGTAGCACTAAACTTAGCAAACCAAGCATGAGGAGCTTGCTTGAGTCCATATAAGGCTCGTTGTAGTTTGCAGACTTTATCGATCGGAACAGTAGACCCAGGAGGGGGTTACATATAGACTTCCTCAAGAAGATCACCATTGAGGAAGGCATTTTTTATATCCATTTGAAAAAGGCCCCAATTACGAGTAACAGCAATAGCAATCAAGCTACGGACAGAAGTGAGACGAGCAACAGGAGCAAAAGTCTCCTCATAATCAATACCATATTCTTGAGTGAAATCCCAAGCAACCAAACTAGCTTTGTAGTGCTCAATAGATCCATCAGAATGAGTCTTGATTTTATAGACCCATTTACACCTAATCACAATCTTACCAGGGGGACGATCAACAACATTCCAAGTATGAGTTTTGTTTAATGTCTATAATTCATCAGTCATAGCTTGCTGCCAAAGAGGCTTAGAACAGGCCTCACGATAGGAGAAAGGCTCATAAGTAGAAAAGGTAGTAGAACCAATAATATAATCACGAAGATGAACATTAGGTTATGTTACCCTTTATGGACGACCGGAAGAAGGAGGCTGAATAGGAGAGGGTGAAGACTTATAAAGAGGCGAGAGAGCCCAAGAGACATCATGAGGACCATCAGGGAGAACAAGCTCGATGGGATCAGGCATAAGTAATGGCGTGTCTAGAGAAGGAAGACTTGCATCAAAATTATTAGGAAATAAATCTACAGAGGGATCAGTAAAGTGGAGAGTGGAAGTTGGAGAAGATAAGTAAAGGGAAGAAATGGGGCAAACATTTTATGTTTCGAAAAGACGACGTGGCGAGAGATATGAAGACGCTTAGAAATGAGACAAGAACAAGGTTCTAGTTTGGTGTGTTTATGAGGTTAGAGAAGAACAAAACATACAGACCCAATAACCTGAAGAGCAGTGTAAGAGGGAGAGGTACCATATAATCACTCATAGGGTGTGTGATTATGAAGGATTGGGGTTAGAACATAATTGATGGTGTAAACAGTAGTAGGGGCAGCTTTCCCCCAAAAATTTTCAAGACAAGATGAAGAAATGAGAAGAGCCCGACTAGTATCGAGAATATGCCTATGTTTTCGTTCAGCACGTCCATTTTGTTGGGATGTGTCGGCACAAGAACCATGAGGCTGAGTACTATGACTCTGAAGAAAAGATAAAAATTTAGAATCCCTGTATTCCATAGCATTATCAAAATGGAAGATTTTTATAGTTTTGGAAAATTGGGTTTGAATCATTTTGGCAAAATTGTAATAAAGCTGTTTGAGTTCAGATCAATTTTTCATAAGAAATATCCAAGTATAACGAGAAAAATCATCAACAAGAATAACAAAATAGTGTGCTCCCCCCATGGGTGTAGGAGATGGGTCCCGAATATCAGAATGTATAAGATTAAAAGGAGCACAAGAAACAAAAGTACTTTTATTAAAGGAGAAAGCCAGCTGTTTGGCAAGTTGACAAGAAAAACAATCCAAACTATCTGAAGAGACATTACCTAACTGACCACTAGAAATTAAAGATTTCAATCGACTAATAGAAATATGACCTAACCGATAATGCCAAAGATGGTGATAATGTAAAGACAAATGAAGCAGATGTAGGGGCAACCACCGGAGTGGAGACTGGAACATGAAGATGAATGAGCACATAGAGACGTCCATGCTTACGGCCGATCCCAAGGGTCTGTCCTATCCAAGGATCCTGCACCAAACAACCATTAGCAAAAAAAGGTGACAGTTAGACCGTGTTCACATAATTGACTAATGGAAATAAGGTTTAAAGTGAGAGCAGGAATAAGATAGACATGTGATAAGGACATGTCAGATATAGAGACAAAACCAATGTGACTTGCAGACATAAGAGAACCATCAGCAGTATGTATGGAAGGAATATGAAGAGAAGAAGATGTGGAAGAAAAAATAGTATAGTCAGAAATTATATGGTTACAACATACAGAATCAAAGCACCAGGAAGATGTACTTGAGGTGACAGACAAAGCAATAGAAGGAGAAGTACCAGAAGTGGAGAAAAACTGTTTAATTAGGCATCTGTTTGAGAGAAGACTGGGGTGGAAGATCCAAAGGGTTAGAAGATGAGAAGTCCTTAAAAGCAGCATCAGTAGTGTGATGAGCAGGCATAAACTGAGACTGATTCCCAAAATGGTGAGAACGTCCCCGTGAGTGAGATCTACGGGAGAATGGTCCAGTAGAGGATGCACGTGATGGATTGTGAAAACAATCGTACTAGAGATGGCCGAGGGCAGTTTTGTTGTAGTAGCAACAAAACCTGATTGAACAATGAACCAGAAGATGAGCAGATGGGAGCCCACAATTTTGACAATAACTGCATTGAGGAGTTTGTGGGAGAGAAGAGGAACTCTATATTTGAGGAGTGGCTAGAACAGAGTCTGTATGTGGAGTAGAGGAAGGACTAAGATGAGTTTTCTCAGATAGAGGCTCATATATAGCTTGTGCAAGAGAAGACAAGGGAGTGCAATGCAAGAGATGAACGTATCAGTTCAAAATGAGGGGTGAGAGCCATGAGAAATTGAACCAACCATTGCTGATTGCGATATTCAATAAATAAAGCAGCATCTTCAGGATGAGGCCCCGTAGGATTAAAAAGAGCAAGCTGATCCTAGACAGAATATATTTGAGACAAAAAATCATTAATAGACTGACCATTCTCCTGTCGCATGCGATAGAGGTGACTTTGAAGCTGATACTAATGTGCAAGTCCAGTAGTTTGATATCGTTCTTTGAGAAAGTCCCAAATATCTTTAGCAACTAAGTCAAGTTAAAAGCGACTAAACTGAAGATAGATAGATGTGACAGAGGTATTGCGGAACCAAGTGATGATCTGATAATTTTTGCTGTCCTAGTCTTCTAAGCAATCGGCAAAATTGGCTGTAGTTTTCTCAGCCCCCTTTGTAGGTTTAGGCATATCTCCAGTAATAATGCGCCATAATTTTCGGCCTTTGAGAAATCCAGACATGGCTTGGGCCTAGAGAACATAATTAGATCCATCAAGATTGACAGAAATAGGATAAGCAGAGTCGGATCGATCCATAATAGTGTGGAATTCTCTAAAAATAATAGAATAAAAACAGCCCTTTGGTGGCAAAATTGACAAAAACAGAGCGTACCAATAAGTTGGGAAGGTTGAAAATAGGTGGAAAGGTGACCAAACTAACCAAAATACACCCCCAAAATGAATGACAATAGCCCAAAACAAGAAGTGGGCCAAACTAGGGCTAACATTAGCAGCAGATGGCAAGCTGATGTCAACAGAAAGGTCAGCATGTGTGAGCAAGGCGCGGCGCATGATAGTGAAAGTGCATGGTGTAGGTTAACAAGAGGATGGCGACAGTTGGCTTACTCTGCTTGGCGTGAAGCGGCGGTTGGCGTGGAGCAGTGGTTGAGGGTTGATGTCAACGATCACAGAGAAGCGCGCGGAGGCGCGTTGGCGAGTGGCAACAAAAGACAGTAATGTGCGGCGATGGAGGCGACGCGTGAGAGGCCCTTTGACAATGGGTGTGGTGGCATTGGAATCATGAGAAGATTCTGAGAAAGATGATGGTGTGGTTGGTGGAAAAATATTGAACGGGATAGCCTGACAATGTGTAATCAGTTCCTAAAAGGAAGAACCAGAAATAACATGATGTATTCTAGTGATGAACAAAAGAAAAGAGTGAAGATAAAATTTATTGCTCTGATACCATGATGAAATAATGTAGAGAGAAAAGAAAAACTCTATATATGTTTTTGTGTTGAATAAAGTACAATGACTCCTATATTTATAGGAAGAGAGAATGTACACTAAGGTCATGTTTGATTCACAAGATTAATAGTGAAGTATTAATAATCCTATTAAATTAGTGATCCAATTGGATTAATATCTATTGAATTAATAATCCCACCCCTACCCCATTACTAATAATCCTATAAATTTGTTGGATTAATTATCCATTGGATTAATAATCCTAAACCAAAATGTTAAAACAAATATAGGATAATTGGGCCCACGAATTAATAATCCCAATCTCATGTTCTAATCCACCCAATCAAACATGCCCTAAGTAGGACGGTTACATTAAGAAGGAAGGTGTATCAATCACACACACTAAATATAGCAGGTATGATAATAACTACCAATCAACAATATATAACTATATATATACACTAATAAGAAGAAACCATTTTAAAGCAATTTAGCTAGCATGCTTGGAAAAGAACATGTACCAGCTGGTTGTAGAGGAAAGTAGATATGGTTTGAGCAAAGAGTCATCCTTCATTTTCCTTTGTGTCTACTACAATTATACATAAACTCTAAAAAGAACTAATGCTCAGTTCATTCCTGGTACAAAATATTTTTTTGATGTTGAAATTAATGTATTAATGGTTATATTAGAGTGGTGGCAGCCACCTTGATATGGTAGTGAAGGAGGAAGAGGAGAAGGTGGTAGAGGTGACAGTGGTCGGGTAGTGGCGTGGTGTTAGTTGTGGTGGTGGTGGTGGTAGGTGGTGACAAGGTGGTGGTGATGGCACTGAGGTGCAGTAAGGATGGTGACGGTGGCGGTAGTGGTGTGATGGTTTGTAAGCTTTATGTCATAATTAAAATATGGTTTGTAAGTTTTATCATTTCCCTTCATTTAATTGGACAAATAACCCATCAAAGATAATGAACAACAAATAAATATCTCAACCAGTATATGGAAGTAGGGCTGTAAACGAGTCGAGTCGAGATTTGTTAAGTTTGAGGTCGGCTCGTTTATTTATCAAGCTTGTTTATTGAGCTCGAGTTCAGTTCGATAATTAACTGGGCTCGAGTTTGGCTCAGCTCGGCTCGGCTCAATAAGATTTTATTATTATTATTTATATATATTTATATATTATTTAAAATATAAATAATTTATTTAATATATAATTTAAATAAAGATAAACAAATCCAACTCAATTGAGTTCGAGTTCAACTTATTTATTAAACAAGTTGAGCCCTTAATGAATCGAGTTAGCTCGTAAGTAGCTCATTTTTTTGTAGTTCCACATGGAGATGAGAAACTTATTTTTATTCACATTAAGGCCTCGTTTGGGAACATGCTAATTTAGTAACTTTTTGGCTATTTGACTAAAAATGTAGGTAAAAAAAACTTGTATGTTTGTGATGACTTTTTGGCTAATTACGAAAAGATGTGCAAAAAGTAGAGAGAAAAGAGAATTTTTGACTTTTTGGTATGAGTTGTTGGCTTTTCGACTAATTTAGTAACTTTTTGACTAATTGGCTAAAATAGCCTCTTGCCAAATGAAGCCTAAGCTTTTCTATGATTTTTAAAAAAGCGAAAAAAAATAAAATAAAAGAAGTAAATAAAAATGTTGAAAAAGAAAAGAAAGAAAGAAAGAGTGATTGATATGACTGTAAGATCCAAATTCGATCTGATCGTATCTCCTTTACGAAAAGGGAGAGAGAATGGTGAGCCCGTGACCTGTGGAAAAATTATGTGGTACGTTCGGGGCTTCAATTTGTTTTTAATTGATTTAAATAATAAGATTTATTATTTTTATGTTACTTTTTAGAAAAAGAAAAGAATAAGAGAATTTTTTTTTAAAAAACATTTATGAATTTGTTTGGTTTAAAAATGATGAAACATAAAAGAAAATTAATTTTTTTATTTTATGTAACTCATATTAACATTGTAATTAATTTTTAATTTCTTGTAAAAAATTACAAAAAAAAATTAAATGTGTGAGTTATTTATAATTAACTTTTACAATTTTTAATTTTTTTTCTTACAAAATTTTCATTTTAATCAACTGCTTTAAAAAAAAAAAATATTTTCTTTTCTTGCACATCATTTTCTTTTACTTTCTACTAAATTATTTTTTTAATAAAATGAAACCTTAAGATTATGTTGGATTGGAGGATTTGATAAGAGAAATGAAAAGAAAAAATAAAATGTAATCTCACTTTTTGTTTGGTTAAATGGAGACACAGGAAAAAAGAAAGTGGAAGGAAAATGTAATTTTACTTTTTGTCTTTTAGATTTATTTATATTCTTTTCTTTCTTCATTTTTTAACTTAACCAAATATAACTTGAAATAATCTCAAAAAAAAAAAAAAAAAAATTACAATTTTACTTTTGACCTTTTAGATTTACTTATATTCTTTTCTTTTTTTCATTTTTCAACTCAATCAAATATAATTTGAAATAGTCTCAACTCAATCAAATATAATTTAAAATTCAAAACCTATCCATTTTATTTTACGTTCATTTCTTTTTCTTTTCAATTTCTTCCATCAAATCGTTGAACCAAAACTTCCCATTAAAAGAGAGTGAGAGAAAGTGGGAAGGGAACGTCAATAGGAGAGAGAAATGGATACGGAACAATTCCGCTATAATCACGTGAGTGAATAATTCTTGATAGATAAGATAGGGGACTCAAAATGATGAGAGGGAAGAACTATTTTTGGCCTATTTTAACAATTGGATTAAAGGACAGTTTGTTCAGTTTTATTTTTTTTTTAATTTTTTAATTTTTTATACGTTTTTTTAAAATAAATTAAAAAATTAACTTTTAATCTACTTCTCAAAATATCACTTTAGGAACTCGGATAAAAAAACAACCTTTTAATTTTTTTGGGTTATATCACCGAATCAAGATCCTCTCTTTCATCTCTCTCCTTAACTCCCTACTTGCTAGGTTATTGAGCCCACTTTTGGGTCCCAATTCGATAATCCAAACCGTTTACATTTTAAGATTTTGTGATTATATCATATATGTAAAACATCAAGTTGATCGGATATTAGAAACTATATTTTTGGATCATCGAACTACAAACTATTTTTTAAAAATATTTAATAAATAGTTTTCTGAACACATGCTTTCTGATATCCGATCAATTTAATTTTTTACAGGTATGATATACTCAACAAATCTTAAAATGTGAACGGTTCAGATTAACAAAATTGAACCCAAAAGTGGACCCAATGACCTAACAAGTAAGGAGTTAAGAAGAGAGATGAAGGAGAGGATCTTGATACTTCCCAAAATAAGAGAGAATAATTTTTTTTTAATTATTTTTTTTGGTTTTATTGAATTTTATTTTATTTTATTTTTCAATTTTAGATCCAACTAGGCTAAAAAGGCCTTAAAATAAATAAAAATTAATTAATTAATTATGTTTTTGAAAAAATATACTAAAATCAAAGAAAAAACTTAAAAAAATTAAGTTTAAAAATATATATCTATATAATAATGGAAGGGTCGGTTTGAAAATGCCTTTCTAATTAATAGTCTAGATCTATCTAATTTAAAAACAATAGCTCAAATTTACTTTTGAAAATATCTATATTACAAACTATCTTAAATGGTTGAGATTTGTCTCATTCAATGATCCAGATTTGTCCAACTGTCAAACTCTTAGCTATTCCACTGCACTTTACATCTTCACTGTGAGCTCTCTTTGAAGAACGAAGCTTTGAAGAACAAAAAACTGTGAGCTTCACCTCTTTGAAGAATAAAGCTCTTTGTATTCCATTTCATTTTTTCTCCACCATCCATCACTAGGTGATACACTCTTATCTCCTCACTTTCTTTTTTTTT